AAAAGCCCTTCTGGGGAGTCCTGGGCCGACTTCAGCACAGTCACAGTCACGGCTCTTTCTTTGAAAGAGGGAACCACACACCGAGATGGGCTTGTGGCTGGCAGTTGAACTTTAAATCTGTCACAGCTGACTGCCCAAAGGTTTTACTCTCCACAACCTGAACCATGGTTGTTGTTCCGTTGCTCAGTCGTGTCCTACTCTTTGTGAACCCATGAACTGCAGCACGTCAGGCTTCCCTGTCCTTCACCATCTCCCAGAGTTTGTTCAAACTCATGTCCATTGAGTTGATGATGCCATCCAACCATCTCATCCTCTGTCACCCCCACTTCTCCTCCTGCCCTCAATCTTTCCCACCATCAGGGTCTTTTCCAATGAGTCGGCTCTATACATCAGGTGGCCAAAGTATTGGAGGTTCAGCGTCAGCATCAGTCCTTCCAATGAATATTCAGAGTTGATTTCCTTTAAGATTGAGTGGTTTGATCTCCTTGCAGTCCAAGGGACTCTCTAGAGTCTTCTCCAGCACCACAGTTCAAAAGCATCAATTCTTTGGCACTCAGCCTTCTTTATAGTCCAATTCTCACATCCATATATGACTACTGGAAAAACCATCGCTTTAACTATATGGACCTTTGTCAGCAAAGTGATATATCTGCTTTTTAATACGCTGCCTGGGTTTGTCGTAGCTTTCCTTCCAAGGAGCAAGCGTCTTTTAATTTCACGGCTGCAGTCATCATCTGCAATGATTTTGGTGCTCAAGAAAATAAAGTCTATTATTGTTTCCATTTTTTCCCCCATATTTGCCATGAAGTGATGGGACTGGATTCCATGGTAGATTAGTCTAGAAAAGTCTGTTTCAAAATGGAAATGTCTCCCTGATCCACTGATGGCAGCTGGGAGAAGGTGTATCAGCAATAGTTATACATGCTGCATTGTTCTATTACTCTTGCCTTCTAGCTCCTGTGACCTGGAGAACCCCCAGTCACCCTCACCACCAAGTCCAACTTTCCCTCCAAGATTCAGATCATATCCCTTCATTTGACAAATATGGCTTAAGCACCCACTTTATGCCATCATTGAATTATCAGTCTACTGGGGAAGATGGCATTGAAAGAGTAATGTGGGCACAGCTGAGGGATGTGTCTACTTTGAAAGTAACTTCATTTGGGTGGGGGTTGGGGTCATAGGAAGATACCACCTCCGTTCCAAATTCTTCTGGCTTTCCCCCAGCATTATTATCACTCCATCAGTGAACACCAGGCACCTCTTCCATCAGCTCACTGCCTAGCATTTCTACAGAATGCCTCCCCCACCCCTGCCATCCTGCCATTTCATTAAGAATGTCTTCAGGGTCATTGGGCTGTCCTATTAATCAAGTACCTGGTAAATGTTCAACGATTCGGATAAATAAATCTCTACGAAAGGAACTAACTGTTGTCTACCCGACCCCAAGTGTGATCAATAAGCTTTTTAAAATCCAGGTTTGGTCGGTCTCCCAAGTGACACCATATTTTACTATTTGGAACAGGAACGTGCAGATGAGTGTGACTGAGCAGGTGAGCAAATGCTGAATCAGGTAGTTACTGCAGGGGTGAGGAAATGGAGGCAGTGAGGTGAGTGAAAGAAAGCAGGGTGTGTTGGAAGCAGCTGCTGAATCAGAGAGTAAACCAGTTGTCAGCGAAGGTTAGGACAAGGGCCCATTTAAAGGCAAATTTCACTCCGGTGTTTCTGAATCATTGACATCAAAACTACTAAGAGCGTGTAGGAGTCACTTCAATGCTAGAAAAATATTTGAAATCTTATTAACCTCTTTGTACAGAATGCCAAATACGGCATCGTAATAGTAATTAGCTAGTCCAATGCAGTAATGAAATGATCGGTTGAGAATGTCCTAAAACAGTGCTTCTCAGACATTAATGTGTATACCAATTACCTGAGTATCTTGATAAAATTCAGAGTCTTATAGTGGTGGGGTGGGGCAGAGATTCTGTATTTCAGATAAGTTCCCAGGTTCTATCAGTTCACTTTGAGGAGCCAGTTCAGAAACACCAGGGAGAACAAGTTATGATTTTGACAAAACACACTTTTACTCTTCTTTTTCAGATTTCTACTATTTATTGAAATTTTTCTGATACATGGTCACTATAATGAATTTAGAAGTTGTAAAATAAAAAAAAATTAAATAGCCCTCAGTCTCATCACCCAGTGATAATCTATATGAATATTTTGATGTGTTTCCTCCTAATCTTTTGTTTGTTTTTACATAATACTCTCTATAAATTTTTTCGTATTTTTTAAAAATTGTTTCTCACATGCTATTATATTTGAATTGATCAGCAAACATTTAGAAGAGTGCCATGAACTCTTTCACTATTTCAAGAGTATAGCAGGTAGAGTCTTTGTCTTTGCTTTTTGGTGAGGAAAAACAATCTGATATACAATCTGATAATAAACATGATTGAACGGATAAAAGTCTCATTTTAAGTAATGGCATTATATTCCCTTTTATAGCTAGTCATAATATAGTTACCAGTATAGTTAACCAATCATAATATAGTTAACCAGTATTCAGGTAATTTCCCTTATTTGCTTATATATATAATATATACATATATTACATAAATATATATGTAAATGTACATTTACATATATGTGTGAAATATGTACACTATGTGGAAAATTTTTGCAGATCAGTTTTTGCATGTATTCCTAATTTTCTTTAGATAAATTTCTTTAAGCGGAATTTCTGGGTCCTTGAGTGTGTACAGTTTTTGAGTTTGTCATACATATCGCCAAATAGAACTCAAGCAGCGTTGTACCATACATACTTCTACTTGTACTAGTACAATGTGATAAAGGCACCCAAAAAGCCTTTATTACATTTTTCCCAGCATTAATTGTTATTTATTTTTATACTTGTCCAGATATTTTAGTTTAAATTCCCTTTATACTTATGGGGTTATGCATTTTCACAGGTGTGTGAGTCAATGGTTATCTTCTCTTTGCAAAGTGTCTATTTCTTTGCCCATTTTGCATTTGGGGGTTTTCTTTTTTCCCTTATTAATTTGTAACTGCTTTTTATATATTAAATATATTAACCCTTTGCTATAGATTTTGTAAATGTTTTTCTAGCTTATTTTTTGTCTTTTAATTGTGTTTCTGCTTTTTAATCCATGAGTTACTTAGAAGTAAGATGTTTAATCTCCACATATTTGGGGAATTTTTTAGTTGTCCTTCTGTTATGTATTTCAAGTTTAATTCCATTGTCATCTGAGAGCAGGCATTGCATGATTCATATTCTTTTAAATTTGTTAAGATGTGTTTTATGGCCCAGAATGTCATCTATCTTGGTGAATGTTCCATGTGAGCTTGAGAAGAATGCTTACCGTACTGTTCTTGGATGAAGTAGTCTATAGATGTCCATTGTATCCGGATGATTGATGGTACTGCTGAACTCCGCTATGGCCTTACTGATTTTCTTTCTGCTGGATCTGTCTATTTATGATAGAGGGGTGTTGAAGTCTTCAACTGTGATAGCAGATTCCTCTCTCCCTCCTTGCAGATCTATCAGGTTTTGCCTCACGTAATTTGACACCCTTTTGTTAAGCACTTACATATTAAGGACTGTTGTCTTCTTGGAGAATTGACCTTTTGCTGTCTTTCATTTCTCTTGTACATAAGTGTGCATGAATATATATCATATTTATAAGCATGCTTATATATATGCATACATAATTAAATACACTTTTGCTATTATTATTTTGAACAAGCCTTTATGTGTTAGATTAATTAATAAGAAAAATAAATATTTTATATTTTGCCTTCACTTATTCCTCCTTTGATGTTCTTTATGTAGATCTGACCTATGTTATTTTCCTTCTCTCTAAGAAACTTCTTTTAACATTTATTGCTAAGCAGGTCTACTGGTAACAAATTCTCTCAAACTTGTTTGTCTGAGAAAGTCATTATTTCCCCCTCACTTTTGAAGAATAATTTCACAGGGTATGAATTTCTAGGTTAGCAGTTTTTTTCTCTTTAAATATTTCATTCCACTCTCCTCTGGCTCGCATGGTTTCTGAGGAGAAACTCTATGTAAGTCTTGTCTTTGTTCCCTTCTATATGTTCTATTTGTTTTCCCCTGGCTTTTTAAAGACTATCTTTGATTTTTTTGGAGTTTGAAAAGGATATACCTAAGAATGGGGGATTTTTGGTTTTGTTTTTTGGCATTTATATTGTTCTGGTGTTCTCTGAACTTCTTGATTCTGTGGTTTGGTGACTTAGATTAATTTGGAGGAAATTCTCAGTCATTGTTTCAGATATTTCTCCTGTTCCTTTCTCTCTTTCTTCTCCTTCTGGTGTTCCCATTATGTGTAAGTTAAACCTTTCATATTTGCTTCACAGTCCTTGAATAATCTGTTGTGGATTTTTTTTCAGTGTGTGTTCCATTTGCTTTTTAGTTTTGCAGGTTTGATATGCCCTCAAGTCCAGAGATTCGTTCCTCAGCCATGTCCAGTCTACTAATAAACCTATCAAAGGTGTTCTTCATTTATGTGACAATATTTTTGATCTCTAGCATTTCTATCTGGTTCTTTCTGAAGACTTTCATCTTTCTGCTTCCACTACCTGTGCGTTCTTGGGTTGCTCTATATCCACTAGAGCCTTTATCATAATTAACCATAGTTTTAAATTCCTTGTTTGATAATTCCAACATCTGTGCCACATCTTGTTCTGATGCTTTCCTTGTCTCCTCAAATTGTGTTGATTGTCTTTTGCTATGTTTTTTCTTTTTCTTTTTGATAACTGCATATGATGGACCAGGTGAATTGAAGTGCTATGAATAAGTCTTTAGTAATGTGACTGAGAGGCTACCGGTTGCGGGGGGAAGCATTCTATAGTCCTATTATAGTAAAGGAGAGCAATGTGCTGGGTGCCATCACCGCCCAACTAATGCCTGAGGAACAGTGGTTAGAAGTCCTGCTCAGCCATTGGTCAGCACTGCAGCAGGCCCCGCCCCCAAGCAACCAACTGTGAGCAAGGGTTAGTGAGGCAACTCAATCAACAGTCAGGGAGTGGTGGTCGTCAGCCAGAGAGTGAGCTGAGATCCGCTCATCTGGCCTCAAGTTAGTGGGTGAAGGCTGCAGTGAACCTCTCCGGCATCCCCGCCTCTGTGACCCAATGACAGCAGCTGTCTGCATAGGGTGAGTCAGCAGGACCTAGTCCCTGCCATGTGGGTCACCTGAGGACCAGCTGGGTTGGGCTCCAAGCTGCCTCAGCAGTGATGGCTGGGCAGGGTCTGAGGACCTGGCCATAGGGACCTGCCAGCTGAGATCTCCCTCCTCTTAGCCAGGACCGGGACCTCGGACGGGGAAAGCCGTGCCTGGGACCTTGCCCTTTCTTGTCAGAGCGGAGAGTAATGTTGGTTTGGTGGGGATTCACAGGAACGTTGTTTACATGACCATGATGTGACTCCAGAATAAAGGATCTGACACCAAGAAGTTTGCAACAATTAACCACACCCCTCCCTTACCTTTCCTAGAAAAGGGCTTTGCTGAAGGCTTTGGGGGAGTTTGGGGTTTTTTAAGGCATGAGCCACCCATCTCTTCACATGGCCCTACAATAAACCTTTTTCTGTTCCAAACTCTGATGTTTTGATATTGTTTAGCCTCACAGTGAGTTTGGGAACACAGACTTACTTTTCAGTAAGCCTGTGATTAGGTCTCAGCTTTTTCGTGAGCCTGGGCCTCTAAACTGTGAACCTCACACGTGTTTCTCAGTTTTTTCTCCCCCTCAGGTGGGACAGGATGGGTAGATTGGGCTGAAGTTGGATGTGTCCCTTCTCCCTTGTGGAAGGCCAGAGCCATCAGGAGATGGATATGTCCCTTCCTTCAGGACAGTTAGGCTCTGGTGAGAATATCCCAGCAGATCAGGCTCTGGTTAGCTGGCTTCCTCTTATTAAGAAGCACTCAGTGCTCTGGTGTATTTCAAAACAGCTACTTTTCTCCTCACCTTGCAGGAAGCATCTACTCTTGAGAACCTGGTCAAGCTCCACAAAAGCGGGAACCACTTCTTCGCCAGGGTTCTCCTAGAGTTTTAATTGTCAGTCTTGTCCACACTGAGTCTCCAGTAATTTGTCAATTACAGTTCAGGTGTTCCCACCACAGCACTGGTTTCCATGGTGTTTTCACTCCTGGGGCTCTGTTCAGGTAAGCCACAGCTCTGTATTATCAGCCCGTCTGTTTCTCCAATTTGGGGGGTAGCGGTTTGCCCTGTGTCCTCCCCTCTGCTATGGATCCAAGAAGAGTGGTTTGTTTTTCAGTTTGTTTAGGTTTTTACTTGTTTGGACAGAGTGGCAACTTCCAAGCTCCTTACATGTGGGACCAGAAACTGGGAGTCTCTGTTTCTTAAAAACCTCTAATGTTTTGAATTTTTAAGTAATTCATAGCTATTAATCTTGTCACTATAAATTTGGTCTTTGTTTTTATGTTTAGGACAGGCTTGTCCTTAAGAGGAGAAAAATTTGGATCCATGTTTCTTTCTAGTTTTGTAAAAGCATCTTACATTACTTCTATACAGAAATCTTAGGAAGCACTGTTGCAAGGACAGTTCATTTTCCTGTGGTACAGTTTTGCTAAAACTAGGGTGTACAACAGGCCTCTCAAGAGATCCAGGAATGGGGGAACGCTGAAGGGTGACAGCTTTGGGGGTTGTAATATAAGTTGAGAAGCCAGCTTCTTTTGTTCCATTAGCAGTTCCATTGCTTCTTTATAGGAAGGATTTGATGGTATCTTTCACCTATCGTTGGTATATGTTGGTATACAGAATAATACTCTCCCTAAAATATTCACATTCTAATCCTTGAAATTTGTGGGTTCATTACCTTCCATGGCAAAAGAAACTTTGTAGTTGTGATTAACTTAAAGATCTTGAGATGGGGGAGATTATCCCAGCGGGCTCAAAGCAATTGAAAAGGTCCTTATAAGAGGGAAGCAGGAAGGTCAAGAAGCAAGAAAGGAGGCAATTGACAATGTAAACAGAGGTCAGAGAGAAATTTGAAAATACTGTGCTGCTAACTTGCAAGATGGAGGAAAGGGACATCAACCGAGGAAAGCAAGAGGCCTCCTGGAGGCGAAAAGCCAAGGAAATAGGTTCTGCCCTGCAGTTTTCAAAAGCTAACACCCTAATTTAGGACTCCTGAGCTCCATAACAGTGAGGTAACAAACCTGTGTTGGTTAAGCCACCGTGTTAGTGGTAATTTGTTACAGTACCATAGGAAACTAATTAGGGACTGTCAGAGTACAAGCCAATCCCTGCAGTGGTTCCCAAATGCTGCTCCTTCCAAGCCACGTCCAGGGTACTCGGCTACTGCCAAGACTGTTGTCACGTCCGGCTCTTGCAACCCCATGGACTGCAGCTTCCAGGCTCATGTCTGTGGGATTCTCCAGGCAACAATATTGGAGTGGGTTGCCATTTTCTTCTTCAGGGGTTTTTCCCAATCCAGGGATTGAACCACATTGCAGGCAGATTCTTTACCACTGAGTCACCTGGGAAACACTGCCAAGATAGGAGGGTTGACTTCACCATCAGTGGATGGTCTCAGAGCACTGATAGCTTACCTAGAAGAAGCCAGCTGAGTCACTTGCCTAAAAAATGGCAGAAGATTGAGGCTTTTCGATCTCCCTTAATTAACCCAGAACATTCAATGAGTCTTCAGAGAATTTCATTCTGATTAGTTTCTACTGGGGACAAAAATCACCCTATCTTTTAGGGTAATTGTGAGGATTAAATTACTTAATACATACATGTGTAGTCCTTAAAACGTTGCCTGGTACGTAGAGAGCCTTCATTAGGTGTTAGCTGTTATTATTTGTTTTAGCTCAAGTTCTCCAGAGAAACAGACCAATAGGATGTGTGTGTGAGTGTATTATATATGTAGAGAGAGTTACTTTAAGGAGGTGGCTGACACAGTTGTGGGGTCTGGCAAATCTGAAATCCACATGGCAGACCAATAGGCCAGAGACCCAGGAAAGATCTGATGTAGTCTTGAGTTCAAAAGTAGTCTGGAGACTGCAGAATTCCCTTTCTCTTGGGGACCTCTGACTTTTTCTTTTAGCTTTCTATTGATTGGATGGGGCCCATCCACATTATGAGGGTAATCTGCTTGACTCAAAGTTTATTGATTTAAATGTTAATTGTCATCTAAAAAATATCTTCACAATTACATCTAAACTGGTGTTTGACCAAACATCTCAGCACCAAAGGCAAGCTAAGTGGACATAAAATTAACTATCACATTGGTATTTGTTTTCTATCTTATTTTGATGGCTAAAACCCCCAGGAAAATATAAAATAGTAAAAATAAATATGGACATCTTTATCTTGTCTCCAGCTTTAATGGAAATACTCTGCTATGTCTTCATCTCTATTAAGTACTATTAAGGAACTATTCTCTACTCCCAATTTAGTATATTTTTAATCATAAATGGGTACCATCTGCTAAGATGATTATGTAGTTTTTCTCTTTTGATTTATTGAAATGATATATTTTATTTATAGACTTCCTATTAATAAACAACTTCTTGCATTCCTATGGTAAAACTTGCTTGGTCAGACTGTAGGCTTCCTTTTAGATGCTGCTGGATTTAATTTCTTAGAATTTCAGTTCATTTTTTATAGTTTATTTTTGCAGCATTCAGTTCCAAGTCCCCATGTTTAATATAAAGTGTATAGTAAACAGATGTGGTTTTAATTGAAGTATAGTTAATTTATAATATTGTGTTAGTTTCTGGTGTACAGCAAAGAGATTCAGTTATACATATATATATATATACACATATATATATACATATATATATGTGTATATATATATGTATCCTTTGTCAGATTTTTTCCATGATAATTTATTATGGGATATTGAATATACTTCCCCATGTTATACAGTGGGACCTTGTTATTTATTTATTTGTATCTGCTAATCCCAAACTCCTAATTTATCTCTCCCCCCACCCCCTTACACCTTAGGTAGCAATAAATTTGTTTTCTATATATGTTAATCTATTTCTATTTTGTAAATAAGTTCATTTGTATCATTTTTTGGATTCCACATACAAATGACATAGTTTGATATTTGTCTTCCTCTGTTTGACTTACTTCACTTAGTATGATGATCTCTAGGTCCATCCATGTTGCTGCACATGGCATTATTACATTCTTTTCTGTGGGTGAATAATATTCATGATACATACCACCTCTTCTTTATCCATTCATCTCTCGATAAGCATTTAGAGTGCTTTCATGTCTTGGCTATTGTAAATAGTGTATGAGGCTAAACATGTTTTTAGTGGCAAGATGTTCAGACTATCTCATCACTAAAGTCATTTGGTGTCTTCTTCCCTTGCGAATTCCTTTCCATTGACTCAGTATTAACATTATATCAATTTAATATTCTAAACATCCTTAAGCATGTTAAAAATATCTGTATTCCCCTTACAAAAACATGACATTGCTTTTTCACTCTTTCATATCTACTACCTACTATCTGTAACTCTCTGTAAGTTTTCCCTTAAAGTGAACAGTCAGCTGTTGTTCAAGAGGGTTGGCCATCCAAGCCCAAGTCCCTTTATGAGTCATTCTGCTTTAGGAATCCATCCTATATTCTTTGAGTTGTTAACTTTGCTTTTCAAAAGCATCACTGTGTGGAGCTTCTCCTACACTGAGACCAGCATAGACCAACTTGTCTTCTGCTTCATGCAGTTTCCTACAAAACAAACTCAAACCAACAAAAGCATAAAATATGTGGCCACTCTGATTGGAAAAAAGAGTCAGGATTTGGCCTGTGGACAGTTAGGAGCTCAGGGCTCTTCTTTAGGACACTGAGCTGCCACTTAAGAGTTCTGAGTGCCTTCTGTTTAAAAGTAAGGCTGGCAGTTGGAACAGTAAATTTGAGTCAAACTTTAAAAGCATGCCCTACCACACCACATGCTGCCCCTTCACAGCAGATGGCCTGGACAACGTTCCCTACTCCTGGACTCCAACAAGGCCAAGAACCAACTGCTACATTGGTCCAATATTCACTGAGGCCAGGTTTAACACTTAAGCTTCTTTATATCTAACTCCCATTTTGCTTTCTGGTAATATATTTTTAACTAGTCACATAACTGAAAATTATTTTCATAAGCCATCAAGGTCCAAACAGTGTTCTAAGGAACACTAGTTGTCAGTAAGTGTTCCAAAAGAAGGGAAAAAAAGATTCTGTCTTCAAATTTGGAACAAGCTGGGTTAAACAAAACTGATTTCTTTACTGCAAAACCACACAGAGCCTTTAGTATATTGATGTTCTTTGGGACCTCTGAAACTTTTTCACAGTACACCTATTAACATTTCCAAGTATTAATATATTATTGTTGGGTATACTTTAGGGAAACAGTATATTAAGTAATTATTATTATCATCACCTACACTTAATGCTTACTAGGACTTGAGTATTATGTTACATATCCCCAACTACAGATGGGATATTATTAAACTACATCTCACTTGAGCCTTGCAACATCTCTAAGAGTGGGAGTTATTATCTTCTTTGCATAGCAGTATAGAGAAGTTAAGTAATTAACCCACAATGACAGCACTAGTGAATCACAAACCCTCACTGCATCCAGACCTTATCAAAATCTATGTGCTTAACCAGTTAAGCTACATTTGCAATAGCACTACTAGACTTTGCAATGGTTGCTTCATGGAATAATACTTTATATTACATTGTAAAAACCAACTTTACCCATGCTCTGATGCTGCTAAGTTGGTGCAGTCGTGTCCGACTCTGTGCGACCCCATAGACGGCCGCCCATCAGGCTCCCCCGTCCCTGGGATTCTCCAGGTAAGAACACTGGAGTGGATTGCCATTTCCTTCTCCAATGCATGAAAGTGAAAACTGAAAGTGAAATCTCAGCCTTTTCTGACTCTTCGCGACCCCATGGACTGCAGCCCACCAGGCTCCTCCATCCATGGGGTTTTCCAGGGAAGAGGACTGGAGTGGGGTGCCATTGCCTTCTCCATTCCCCATGCTCTGAGAATCATCATATCCTCTCCTTCCCTGCGAGCCAGCCCAACAGATCCTTTTGTCAGTGAGCACCTTCAGACCATCCTGCAGCCACTCTCGACTAATGAGAGCTGAATCAAGTGTAATGCATGCTGTTTTCTTCCTTGG